AATGATATGTTTCATTTGGAAAGAAGAAATTACATTTCATTTTTTTATCAGTGAGAAATAGTTTGCTTTCCCTTTTTTCTTTGGCAAATTTCGGGTAAAGTCATAATGAGCGAATAAGTACGAACCTTTGATTTTTTAGATTATTAAAATGCCCGTTGAAATTTAATTTGATCTGCTCAGACAGTACGAATACATTTTTTGTTATCATATTATTTTAAAACTCAAAGCATAATGAAACAATAATCATCGCAGACCAGGTACAGGTCGAACCCAAGACCCATTGTGCTTAGGTACAGCGCAACACCGAACTACGCCACGACCCCACCTGCTACATTGTCTTTGCATAAGTAATTTAAATTTTGAATTTTCGAATTCAGTATTTGTGTTAAGTTTGTGTTCTATAAAAATATTTATCCATTCATTTTTTGTTGTCAAAGTAATACTAATAATAATTAAAGTAATTAATAAAAATAAAAAATAAAAATTTGAATAGTTTATTTGTAAAACAATGTGTGAAATTACAAATTATTCGATTATTACAACAGATATTTAATTATTAAGAAATAGTAGTTACAAAAGAAGGCAGTAATTTTTTTCTATGCATCTAAGAATAAAAAAAAATGTGAAAAGATGATAATTATCATATAAATGTCAAAATTAAGTTGAAATTTTAAAGTAATAAGTAAAAATTTTAAATGATTAACTAATAAAATTGTTAATCAATATTTAACTTAACTATCATATAAATTTTAACTTAACTATCATATAAATTATATTTAACTTAACTATCATATAAATTAATAGAAAAATAAATTTTAAGATAATCAATAATTAGCTCATTTATTATACAAATTAATAGATGCATTAGAATCATTTACAATCATTTTATCAATATTTTATTTATAATAAATATGCTATGTTTTAGTTAATGCAAGAAATAAATTCATCACAAAAAAAAAAAAAAAAGAAAATTCAAATATTTGAAAATGATTGACGCATAAGCATAAAGGATAAAAGATTTGTTCATTCAATGATTATATATGCAAATAAGAAAGAGTGCTAATAACTCATAGTTGGATACAATTGAATAGAACTAATTGCGTCATTTGAAGAATGAGCTCGAAATGACGCACTAAAATTGCTCGATGAAGATAACAGTGCAAGACTATGTGTACAGTAAATATTATTGACACTTTTTTTTTTGTTGGTAAAGATTAAGAAAGATTGAAAATCTAGGTCTAGAATCTTTAAATGATAGATTTAGTTAAAAATTTAATTAAAAAATTTTTAAATTAATATCTGAATAATTCTATTCAGAATTTGAAATGTTCAGTTTTTTTTTTTTTCTTTTTTGAATTAAAAGGAAATTACTGATCAATTCGTTCTGTGTGAATTTTGATGATTATGGAGAAATCATTTATAATAAAAAGATAGTGATACTTTTAAAATATTAAATAGAGTTAAACATCATTTACTTTCTGTAATTTATCATTGAATTTCATTTTTCTCATTTTCTTTATATTGCATTTTATATTCAAATTTTATATGATTTATATTATGCACAATATAAATCATGCAAAATAATGTAAAATTATTATTATTATTATTATTATTATTATTATTATTATTATTACTATTATTATTATTACTGTTATTATTATTATTGTTATTATCATTATTATTATGATTATTATTATTATTGCTCAATTTATTAATTACCCTTTTTTTAAAAAACTTCCAACTGAAGATGATAAATTACTTTAAGAGTGATGACGGAAGAGATGGGTCGATTAGAATGAAAAAAACATTTGCTGCAACAAAGATATCTAACAAATACAATGATAAAAGTTTTGGCGACAATGCACAGCGGGTGACTGTAGCGGTCAAAAGATCAGATTACTTCTGTATTGTCTAAAGATGCATTTCATTGAATAGTACAAAGCAATTATTCATTCCACTATTAGTTTAAACAAAAAAAAAAAATCGAGCAAATAGATTTTTTAACTGGCGCAACTATATTATGTATGCGCATTCTCGAATAAATTAACCATAGAAGTCGGAGACCATTTCATTTGGATGATATTTACTTTTGCATATCATGGTTATAATATAGTTAATTAAAGTGATTAAACAAAATCTATTTACTAAATTTCTTCGCTTTATATCTAATAATTAATTAGCAATTAACTGGGTGTCAAGATAATTAAGCCGCGAAGTGTTTTAGCTTATATGTGGACAAACACATTTTACAGCTATAAAATGATTTATCGGTTTTTTTTGAATGAAAATATAAAGTGCGAGAACTGGTAAAAGATAGATATGAAATTAAATAGCATTATAAAAAGTATATGAAGCAAAATAAATATAGTAATAATAAAAATATTATGAAAAACTATTCATACAATTAATTGCTCGTGATTAATTTAAACAATAAATAAAAAATTATTTTTTAAATAATAAATAAATAATTCTGGCACAGGATACCTAGTTTTTGCATAAAACTAAACATAGGAGTACACAAATAAGTTGTAACAAAACTTGTACTATCAAATAAAATTTAAATTGTTCAAATAATTGCATGGTAAATAAAATATGATAATAATTAGTTATTGCTTAACATATGAACAAATGAAAAAATAATAATAATAATAATAAAAATAACTGAATTATGATGCATTTTAAGAAGTACATGAAATGAAATTTCTAAGCTATTTTAATATTATTATAAATATATCAAATATTCTTACTGACTCAATAAATGTGTTGCTTATTGCTTTAAATAAAATAAAAATTCATAATTCATGAAATGATAATGTAATCATTTAATCATCACTCAAAAGAAACTGCAAATTCAAATTCAATTTATAGCAAAGCATTCAAAGTAATTTGAAAAGAAAGAATTGTGAAATCGAAACCGTCATAAAATAATTGGAACACAAGACTAAATATAATTGGAATTGAAAATGCCTTAATATAATCGAATAGGAAAATGACGCGGAAGTAATGGAAATAAAAAGTGACTTTTAGTTAATTGAAAGAAAAAATGATAGAACGATAATTTTGAAATAAATTGTAAAAAATAATAACATCCTTAAACACAAAGTATAACAGTAGTTTATCGCACAAATACATATTCAACAAATTTTCTCGAGTATTTAAAGATCTTGAGAATGATCATCGAAAACTCTTAAACTAATAAATTAAAACTAAGCAATGAAAACGAGATGATAAAAGGTAATATAAATTATACATTCAGTTACATTTATGAAGCGAAAGCATAAATTCCAGTTAAAAATCTAAACTTTATCCATCATACATTGAAGCACTTATTTGCTTATTTATTTTCAATATACATTACATCAAAACTTTAAATGTTCTCATTTTAACAGTAAGCATACTTACATCTTTCTACGATCGATTATCAAACGCGTCTTTTCATTTATTATTACGGTAAGTTATCATATGGTATTCTCTTACCGTATCTCTTCCTTCTGTGACAGGCTACCGTATGCCTTTCTTTATGATGCCTGTCTATGGTAGGTCACAGTATTTTTTATTTGATATTTACGATACATTATAGTATTCTGTTATAATTTTTGTTTGTGAAAGATCACCGTATTTTTCTTATCTTTTTGTTTACGGTTATTGTATAGTTTTTCTCTTTCATTACAATAGCTTGTAGTACTATTGTTATGTTGAATAGAAAGTAATATAAAATATATATATAATAAAACTAAAACATAACATAATAAAATATAATATAATAAAACTAAATATATAATCAAACTACAAAATGATTAAAAAAAAAAACTTTTGTTGTAACATAAGCAATACAAATAAATAATATCAAAGCGTATCAGGTTTCTTTTTCACTTTTCCTTTTATATTTGCTTGCATTAAATTAAACAAAACTTTACAGAATTTATATGTTTCTACCACATTACTTTATCTTATTATCAATAAAAAAATTTGTATCACTTAATTTTTTTAACATCAAATTGAGCGATTATTATCAAAGTATGAAGGCATTATCTTTCGTTTCAAATAAGTTTTTTTTTTCCTTTTTTTCATTGAAGAAAAAGATAGGAAGAAATGATATTTAACATTTGACATTTTAAAAATGAAATTGAAGGTCAAAAGGAAGAAAAATGAAAAATTGAAAAGATCAGATTTGTTAGATACAATGACAATAATTTTTACTGCAAAATCTTTGTCGCAATTTCTCTACATATACAAAAATTATTTTTACAAATTTCTTTTTCTTATTCACAATGTAATTTTCTTTTTTTTCAACAATTTCTGTTGTAATTTGCAAAAGAAAAAACTAAAAAAAAAAGTGGTGGAATTAAATAAAAATATTATATGTATATGAGACAAATTTTATTAAAACGAGAAAATATATAATACATTTTAAAGAAAATGTCGATTTGTTACTGACCTTATTTACCACCTTTCTATTCTTCATTACCATCTTTCGTTCATACAGTTTGATAAAGTGACAATGAAATTGTTCATTGAAGAGTTACACAAAAGGCCTTGAACGAAATTTTAAATATTTTATTTCGATGAAATGATAGAAATTTTTTTTTCCTTTTTTTTTGTGGAAGTTACAAGAAAAATAATGAGTGTAAATGAAGGAGGAGAAATTTTTGAGCTCATAAAATTGTCGTATTGTCGTTTTGTTCCAGTGCCTATACTTCTAGGTTGGTAGGAACTAAATATGGTAGGTAAGAGAAAAAATAGACTACAGATAACTTATGTTTAATTTATGAATATAAGTTTAATAATTATAGTTTGCTTCCATTCATTCATTCATTAACTAACAATTTATTTCATAAATGAATTACAAAAGAATTCGTTAGCTTCTCGTTTCCTTTTTATAGTTTAATTGAAATTCAACGACATTACGTTACGCTTCATCACATTGCTGATTGCTAAAATTCAACGACGTTACGTTACGCTGCGTCACATTACGTTATATTTGACAGTCAAAAACGACAATGCCTTGTGAAGGGGTAATTTTTGTATTCCTCTTTTTTTGTAATAGTTTATTGTAGCTAAAAGATATGTACTGATAGTAAATATAGTCAAAATAGAGCAAAATGCATTTTCAGTTTTTAAATGTGAGAAAATCTATTAATATTTTGCTCAAAAACAAGTAGTCAGCTAAAATTGGTTTTTTTTTTTTTTTTTTAGAAACATTAAAAATTAATTTTCAATCGTTTGTATTTTTGTACGACTGATTTATTATATGATAGAGTAAACAGAGTGGAAATGTTTCCTGCAGTTAATTAGCTATTAATTAACTATTTAATAATTCAATTTAATCAGTTAATAAGTATTCTCATAGTTTATTAAATAATTCAAAATATATTCGTTTCTAGCGTGAATGTATTTCTATACATATTGGACAAGCAGGAGCCCAAATTGGAAATGCATGTTGGGAATTGTACTGTTTAGAACACAATATTGGAAAAGATGGAAAAGTTGCAAGTGAAGGAAGTGAACCCGGAATACAGAATCAAAAACCGGAAAATCAGGTAGATATCGCACTAAATTTTGTTTTTATTATGTTTTATATTCAAAATTCAATAATTGCTTTTCTTTTTAAGAAATATCGAATTTTAGTTTAAATTTATTTTGTAAAATTAACGAACTAAAATCATTCATTGTTCTTATTTTGTCAATTGGCATACTCTAATAGCTAGTTCTAGATCATTTAATTATCCTTGGTCAATCAAAAACTTCTCTTTCCACTTTTCTGATTATTTTTCTTCTTGTTTAGTCAAAAAATTTGATGCTATTCCAGTTTATCTCATCAATGTTAAATATTTAAAAAAAAAATTTAACATATTTTTAGTCAATCACAACATTCTTCTCAGAATCATCCGGTGGCAAATATGTTCCTCGAGCTATTTATATTGATTTAGAACCTACTGTACTCGGTAAAATATTTCATTTTGTATTATTTACTTCTTTTTTAGCAAATTATCTCATTCTTCCATGAAACACTGTGTATGTGCAATTAAATTAAGTATATGAATGAGTGAAAAGAAAATTTTTATTCCTCAATAAATTTTGCTTAAACTTCAAGTAATGATAAATAATTTAAGTTTGGATTAAATTTCAAATAAAACAGAAAAAGGCTAAATGTGAGCTGTTACTGTAAATAATAATGAAAATTCAATTACTGTAATATAATGATGAAAAAGTTATTGTAATTAGTGGCGGCCGTTTGGTCCACTTTTTGTCTCTCTACTAACATATGAAATCTTTAAACCAAAAAAAAAAAAAAAAAGAGTTATTAAGCAAAATTTAAATATTAGGCCGAAATTTCATTTTAAAATTTAAATTTTATGCATTAATGCATGCAATACATTCTTATATATTGTTTAATACTTTAGCCAATTAAAGTAATTTTTTGTGCATAAATATATTTAATTTAATTTAATTTTTTATAAATCCTTAAAATAACAGAACTAAATTCTTGACGAATTATGCATCATACCGTTTAGAATATTATTAATATTATTGAGCAATAGAATAATTTATTGGTTAATGTTTTATTTACTTATTTATTTATTTTAAATAACTATAATTACTGATTAAGCTTTTCTTGGTCTAAATTAATGCTTACATTACTCGTTTTTTTTTTGATTATATTTAATTTATATATGTTAACAGTGATTAATATGCAGATGAAATTCGTTGTGGTCCATTCAAGCAACTTTTCCATCCTGAACAATTAATTAGTGGCAAAGAAGACGCAGCCAATAACTATGCCCGTGGCCATTATACCATTGGTAAAGAACATATTGATATTGTATTAGAAAAGATTCGAAAGCAGGTTTGTTTTATAATTTATATGTCTTTACTTATTTATTTATTTTAAATAACTATAAATACTGATTAAGCTTTTTTTGATCTAAATTAATGCTTACATGTCTCGTTTTTTTTCTTTTTTTTTTTCGATTATGTTTAATTTATAAATAAGTAAAATAAGAAATTTATAAATAAGTTATAAATAAGAAATTTTATTCATATTTGAATATTAATTTGTTGTATTTTCAGACAGAACAATGCATGGGATTGCAAGGTTTCTTGGTATTTCATAGTTTTGGTGGTGGTACCGGATCCGGATTTTCATCATTGCTAATGGAACGACTTTCCGTTGAATATGGCAAAAAATCAAAACTTGAATTTAGGTAATGGAAAATTTTTTACAAACTTGGCATATTATGAGCTTTCTTACTATTAATCTTTTTATGCAATATAGTTAGCAAATCAAATTTGTGTCAATTTTTCAATTTTGTTGTAAAATTTCAAAAACTAAGAGTTTTTTTTTTTTAATTATCTTAATTTGAGATTGTAAAATGGCTCATTAATTTGATGGAACAAAAATTTCATACCTGAAAAAATCACTTCATACTTAAGTTCAATTAAGTGAAAATACTGTAATGAAATATTTGTACAACATTTGACTTATTACCGATTAATTGTAGGTAGTAATTAACTGATCAAACAAATTAGTGGGTTTAATTAATTAACATTTGTTGTATGTATTATATATATATATACTGAAAAATTATAATATGAATGTTTATCTGCTATAAACCTAATTCGTTATTTTATTCAGTTCATCAATAACTTATTTTAATCAATTAATATTTAAACTATTCATGCAGTCATCTCTTGTTCAATTGTTTATTTTAGTATCTATCCAGCACCACAAGTATCTACGGCTGTTGTCGAACCATATAATTCAATTTTAACCACACATACAACTTTGGAGCATTCTGATTGCTCATTTATGGTTGATAACGAAGCTATTTATGATATCTGTCGTCGTAATCTCGATATTGAAGTTTGATATTATTAATGCTTATGAGACAGTATAATGTAACATGACAGGATGCAAAAATGAATTCTTTGTTTAGCATTAATGATTATTTGGTAATAATATAACGTAACGTATATCAATGAATTGGACAATTGAAAAAGAAAAAAGAAGAAAATAAAATTAAGGGAGAAAAAAAATTAATTTTATTCTCTTCTTTTAATTTTTTGGTAGAGTAAAAGTTTGGCAAATATTTGGAAATTTTGAAAATATTTAAAACAAATGAAAAGAAAATTTTTCACGCAGGTAATTGAAATTGATAATCTTAATTACTTATATTTTAACCATCCTAAATATTTAACAGAAAATTATGTATAAAAAACGAACAAACAAAAAAAAAGATTTTAGAGGCCATCATATGTCAATTTAAATCGACTTATTGCGCAAATTGTATCATCTATTACCGCATCTTTACGTTTTGATGGTGCTTTAAACGTTGATTTGACTGAATTTCAGGTTTACTTTTTCCTCAGTTTCGTTTTTAATAAAATTATGATTTTCTTTTCTAGTTAAAAAGGAAATAAAATTTTCTTCTCCTTTAGATTCCACATATATTGAAACTGTTAAAAAAAAAAAAAAAAAAACCTTTTTGACTTAGAATTATTATAGATTAAAATAATTGCAAATTTCTCAATGTGCGAGTGAAAAGAAAATTTTTAAAAAAGAGATTACTGTTTTATAAATTATTATTTTCCGGGTGTTACATACAAAAAAAAAAAAAAAAAAGTTTATTAAAAAATAATTTTTTTTTAATTTAAAATACATTTGCAGAAGGCGGAAAAAATTAAAAAATTTAAAAATATATATTTGTATAAACTATTTTAATAACATTTACTTAATTTTTTTGAATTAGTAGATCATCAAAAAGGACAAAAAAAAGCGAAAAAATACATATAAATGCTCAGTGAAAATAAAAAAACAATTATTTAAAAATTTTTTGCTTAATTTCTTTAAATTAAACTTTAAATGTACTTTCAGACAAATTTAGTACCATATCCAAGGATACATTTTCCTCTGGCGACATATGCGCCTGTCATCTCATCCGAGAAAGCTTATCATGAACAGTTAAGTGTGGCTGATATTACAACCACATGCTTTGAGCCACATAATCAAATGGTGAAATGTGATCCAAGGCGTGGAAAATATATGGTATATTATTCATTTAGAAAGAATTATTTTTAAATTTTTAAAATTTTTTCTTTTATAAACTATCAATTAAGTGATGAAGTAATAAAAAAAAATAGCCAATAAAACATTAAATAGTAAACATTTTTAAACATAACAAAGAATCCTTATAATCTTTTATTTCTAATAATTTATCAATAAAAATTTTTATTATCTTCATATCTTTTAATGTGAAAAATTGTATTAATTTAATTGTTTGAAAAAGGATTAAAACTAGAAAGAAAAAATTCCATAATTTTCTATAATTTTCCACTCTAAAACTTAATAGTTTATTAGAAATAGCTAGATTTATTTATTTATTTATTTACTTATTATTATTATTATTATTATTATTATTATTATTATTATTATTATCACTATTATTATTGTAGGCTGTATGCTTGCTGTATCGCGGTGATGTGGTACCAAAAGATGTAAATGCTGCAATTTCCATGGTTAAAACAAAACGTGGAATTCAATTTGTTGATTGGTATTCTTTTTTTTTTTTTTTAATTATTCTTTTTTTTGAAATATGTATATAAATACATATTTCATTTTTATCCATTAAAAATTATTATAGGTGCCCGACTGGATTTAAAGTTGGCATAAATTATCAACCACCTACTGTTGTTTATGGTGGCGATTTAGCAAAGGTTAGCTTAATTAAGTAGTTAATTTAAATTTTAATTGTTAGTTTAGAGTAAAAGTTACTAAATTAAAACTTAACTGTTTTTGCTTTAAACAAAAAATTAAATATGCTAAATACTTAAAGGTACATCGAGCCGTTTGTATGCTTTCAAATACAACTGCAATAGCTGAAGCATGGGCACGTTTGGATCATAAATTTGATTTAATGTATTCGAAACGAGCATTTGTGCATTGGTATGTTGGTGAAGGTATGGAAGAAGGTGAATTTACGGAAGCACGTGAAGATTTAGCTGCATTAGAAAGAGATTATGATGAGGTGAAAATTATTTAAAAAGATAAAGTATTTTAATTTTATCATTTAAAATCTTTCAATTTTTAATAAAAATTTTTCAAAAAAAAAAAAAAAAAAAAAAACAAAAATGTTGAAATAGTAATTTTATAAAATAAACATTGTAATATATTACTAATTAATTTCTAAAAATGATTGATAAACAGATGAATTTGATATATTTCATAATTGTATTAGTAATATTTTCATTTATTCGATAGGTATTAGATTTTGTAAGCTTCAAATATTTTTAGACAATATTTATATAATTAGTTGTTTTAGCAATAATTGAAATTTGTATTATAGGTTAGCAAAGATTCGGCAGCACTTAGCGATGATGATGAAGAAGAAAGTGAATATTGAAAATTTCTCAAATATATTTTTAAAAAAAAGAAAATACTGTGTAACATTTTAAATTATACATTTATTATATAGCAATAAATTATCACTTTTCTCCCATAATATAACAATCATTGTAAACAAACAACAATAATGTTAAAGTTATTTGCATAGTAATTGGAGCAACATTAAAAATATTTAATGAATAATAATTTTGGATGATTAAATTTTTTGATTTATTCAAATATCAATTATATAATTTACTCAAACTTATTAATACTTATAGTAACTAATAATTTCTGTTGTATTTATTAATAATTCTCTTACTAAATACATATATGAAATGCAAAAAAAGAAAAAAAAAAACAATTTCTGATAACAACCTAATCAAAATTTCATCTTTTTTTCAAGAAAAGAATACGTTCATTTCATTTCTTTTTTTTTTTTTTTTTAAGATGTATTAAAAGATAAAAGTAAAATGAAAATTACTATCACTACTATCATCTCAGTTTCAATAACTGCATTTCTGATAAGAAATTCTGAGGTTCTGAAACGTTCGTAAAGAAAAAAGTAAACAAATTCAAATAAGAAATAACAATAGATGAAATGAAGTAAACGAAATAGTAGAATAAGAAAGCAGTTGAAATAGCAATAAATAAAAGTGTCACCATCAACTGTCATCATAAGCTTTACAGCATATTTGATAGGAGAGAAAATGTATGAGCATAATAAAAGTCATAAATAAGAAAATAAATAGGATAAATAAAGAATGCACAGTTGTACAGAGTAATAAAATAGGTATTGATAATGAAGCACCTGAATAATGATAACAAATGATAAGTAAGTCTAAGAATAATTATGCAAAAAATAAAGAATAGAATATTGTTAAGTAATAAACGAAACAATTCCAATATGCAATCAATTTATGTAATTCGGACAACCTATTAATTCGGAATAATATTCCGTCCGGTTCATTACATACATGTGTTTGCATGTGTGAATGTGTGTGTTTATGTGTCTTCTGTCTACACATAGTTTTTCCATTTGTTGGAGTAGGAAATAGAGGAATGGCAAAAGGGAAATTAAAATAAGCAAAAGTAAAATATTAAACTAAGAAAACCAATTTAAAAAGGTCTTAAATAAGTAAACTGAAATAATATGCAAATAACTTTTTAAAAAAAAAAATATATTTGTAGTATGAATGGATTAATGTGAAAGTTTGAAATGGAAAATATATGCATGCCAAATAACAAATATATTTAGCAAATTTCAATTTTTATTATTCTATCAACTTTTTATTTCCTTTTCTCATTTTCATTTCAAAACTCAAATTCTTTAGATTCATATAATTAAATGTTTTATAGCATTGATTACCAATTATTCACATTCATTTGGTATTGTCATCAAATATCACAAACTAATGAAAAACCATTAACAACAAATGTAATTAGTAATGTTAATTTAAATTAAAAAGTTTAATAACCAAACACTTTGATTGTGCTAGTTGTATAATCCAAAATTCGATGATCACGATAATTTAAACCACCGAATGATATGCCTTGATCACTGCAGCAATAAAGAGGATTCTGCTAAAAACAGATGCAACAATTAATAATAAATTAAAATATAATTGATGAATTTTTTGAGTTTCAGCAATTTTTAAAAACTGTTCCATTAATTAAATACACTTTTTAACATAATAATTGAATAATAGAATTAATCATAACTGTTTATTATCATTATATGAAAATTGATTATGTTACAACAAATAGGTATAATTATTAAATTGAAATTTTTAAAAGTTGCTGAATAAAATTCCTAATTAATTAGGTTAAAAAACAAAAAATAAAGAACCATTTTTTTTGAAAAATCCAATTCACTGCCTGCAATTAATTCATTGAAACCATTTGGGATAAACAAATGCTTTCCATCCTGTAAATTTGCTAAAATTTCATTCAAGCATTTCTTTTTTCAAAAAAATAATATTCTAAGATGATAACATTTTATGATTAATCTTATCAGATAGATCAATAAGTTTTAAATCGATTAATTTTTCTTCCTAAAGCATATGATACTATAAATGGATAATAGCTTAAATAGATGTATGATATGTTATCAATTAGATGAATTATGCATTCATTAAATTTTTTCTCTAAAGCACTGATATAATAAGTTAATAATATTTTAATATACTAAATAGTCAAATAAATGATAGTCTTATCATTTTAGCTATTTCATTCTTTATATGATTAAAAGCATTTATATAGATTAACTAGTAATATCCTAATGAAATATTTACACATGATAACCTTATCAATTGGATCAACAAGTTGTACATTCATTAGATTGCTACATCGCATCAGTGCTCGTTCTGTAGCACGGGGTGATAACCATCCAAAACAGTTATCATTAGCCATAAGGTCGAGAGCAGTGCGGGAAAAAACGATGCCAGCTTGAGGTAGAATTGTTGTATAAATATTCCATGGGAATAAATATGAACGGAAATTTCTAGAAAGTTGTAAGAAAGTTTAATTTTAGTTTTTGCTTTTTAAACAATTATTGGAAGTAGCATTGATAATTTATGATAATAACAGCTTGTAATAAAATTTAATCAATAACATATGAGTGATAGTAATTGATAGTGACAAATATACATGTTGGATAATATTTGTAATAAATAAATATGATTATAATATTTAGCAACAAATAATAAAAAATTGATAATAATAGTAATAGTGATAAGAAAAAAATCGTAATTATGATAACACTAGACGATAAGTAAATATGGCAATATAAACTAATCTTATCATTAGTAATAAACAAACACAATGTGCAAATTGTTAGTAAAAAATAAACCTGATAGTGATAGATCAATCTAGTAGTGATAATGATATGACATGATATGTAATGACTTTAGTATGTTTTCGTGATATTACTTTCTGCAGTTTCAACTATTCTTCTTTACTTATATATCTTTGTTAATTATAAAGTATAATATTTACTAATGCAAGCAAAGAAAATCAAAATTTTTTTTAATCAAAACTGAAATTAAATTAGAAAAGTTTTGTAACAAAATCAAATTGTGACTTAACAAATTTAAAACTCATTAAATAATTGTTTTAGCTCAAGACATTATTTTAATAATTTTAAAATGTCATTTGTAAATTGCTAACGTAATTTTTTTTTTTTTATATAGTAAAGAAATTATGGCTGCAAGAAAAGATCTGAAGGGAAAAAAAGAAGTGAATAACGAAGACATAACGTAACGGATGTCTTGTTTTACTTTATAAGCAAAGGAAAAAAGAGAGGGAGGGAGGGAGGAGGGAGAGAGAGAGAGAGGGAGAGAGAGAAAGAAAAAAAGGAAATGAATTTACGAAATTTACTAGTTATTAAATCATTTGATAATGTAACAACCAATGAAATATGCTATTATTTTTCAAAATGCAATAAATGAATATAATGTGAGATGTTATGAATGTATGATAAAAGACAAAGTATGATAAAAATTATTTTAAAATATTATTTTAATAAAAAGGAAAATGTTGCTATAATCATTATAGGTCATTGATAATAGTTGAAAAATGAGATTAACTTTAAAATTGAAATCAATCAGTAAAATCTTGGAAATAATAAGAATAAAAGCTGCTAAATTAACATTTATTGTAATTTATTGTTTTGAGAGCATTTAGAAATTTTGGAAACACACAGGAAAAAAAGCGATGTACTCCCACTTTAAAAGCTCGCAGAGAAAAAATCACATAACTTCTTGCTGCCTTTTTTTCAATCAAAAATACTACGGAAAAGATGATAACAAATTTATATATACATATATGGAATATGATTTCTAAATTTCAATTTTCTAATCAATTTTTCTTAAAATTCTAATCACATAAGTTCAGTTAAAAAGAAAAATTTAAAAACCATTTGAAATAAAATTAAACTACCTTTTGCTAGATATCCTTCCTAATATAAATGATTGTTGTGAATTATTCAGTGCTGACAAAAGCCGTCGTAAATTTGCCATAACAATAAAAGTCTGCTCATCACTAATAATTGTCCAAAATTGATTCTGTTGTTCATTATACTTTGTGGAGTATTTGATAATTTCGCGATATAAATCCCAATGATATTGTGTTTTCTTCGTTTTTACAAATGCAACATTAATCTCTTCTACAATACTATATAATAAAGTAAATTCAAAAAAGAAGGAACAGCATTTGTTTGCTATGTGAGACTTTAATAAAGTTACAAATTTTTCTGTAATCTAGCTGAAATACTTCAATACACATTTAAAATAAATTAAAATTTCTAATTTAGTGAGTCCAAACTTATATTTTCATTATTTTATTGCATATAATACAACAGTCATGATGGAAAATGATGGTGATAATAGATGCTAAGAGTAATAATGATAATAATAATGTAATGATAATAGTAATAATTATAGTAATAATAATGAATTACCTGAGAAATTACGGCGAATCCCTTCTGAATTTGTTATATAAACAGTATGATTGCATTGTTTGGTATAGGTGTCACGCAATGTTTGGACATATTTCCGCTTAAATATCTGATTGGGATGGATGAATATAATGCACTGTATTTGAATATCAGACAGAATTGAAGTATTTAAATTGATCGAAGTAAAGTGTCTCGATTGATTTATTAAAATGGATTGTGTAGCAGTTTCATCTTCATAATTAAATGTGACACAAAATCCAAGTAGAATGCCAATTAAAATACCAAGAATAAATCGCGTAGTGTTATTAGATAACCATTGCTTGCGACAAGTTGCGATTAGTCGCGACAATATCAAAATCACTTGTCGCATTAAATTTTGACCATATCTTTGGGATCTTGAAGAAGCAAAATATAACCTTTAGTAATCGATTATTTAAAATATGTCAGAAAAAAGCAATATTATGCAAGTTTTCCCTTTTATCTTTTTTTTGCAAAAAAATTAAATAATTGGATTAATTAACTGTCAATTAATTAATTAAACAAACAAATAAATACTCTCACATTATCTGATTGCAATAATTTAGGGCACAGAGCAAACTATGATTATTCGACAATGACAGAACGATTGTGAACGTTGCCGATGATTTGTTATTAAAATGAAATATTTAAAATATCAGTCGAAATTAAATCATTTGTGTTGAACTATCTGTTTGAGTTTGGTGTTGAATTGGTATGGTTGATGAAAGGAATTTGCGCAAGTAAATTTAAATTTGAAAATTTTTGAAAACTAATGAAACAGCTGAGAAAAAAAGAAAAAATGATAAAACAATAAGAGAGAAGGAAAAAGATTATGATAATAATGACAATAATAATGAACATAATAACGTTAATTATAAGAAAATATGAAAGTGTACTGAAATGTAAGTAGTTGAATGAAATAATAAAATGGGGTATAGTTGAATTAACAAATACTGAAAAGAAAAAACGTTGAAGTTATATATATATAATAATTATAATAACATTAATAATAAATAATGGGAATAATAAAAGCAAATAAAAATTTTTTGTACATTTTTTATCTGTAAGAACAATACTAAAGAGTATGTACTAAATTGTATTAAATTGATATTTAAATAGAAAAAAGCCAAAATAGAGGGAAAGAGAGAAAATTTTAATTTTCCCTTTGTATCTTATCCCCAGATTTTTTTATTATTTCATATCAACAATATATTTTGTGCACGATTTATCACTCTCAACATATTTAGCATGCAAATATTTTAATTAGATTAATTATATACATAAAATAATGGTGAAAAGATGATGGGCTCGAATGGAATAAAAATTGGTTAATGTTTGATTATTGATAAATTTCGGCATTTCTACTGACCCTATTACTTTTACCGATCTCTTCTCATTCTCTTATCAGTTTATTTTGGTAAATGACACACTTTCTACAATCATTTATTACTCATAGAATTCCTTCCTATCACAACTAACAATCAATCATCATTTTTCATGACAACCACATGCAAAATGTCACCCATCAAATGAAATTTTTTCTTTTAGCCATCTTTCTTTCATTCTTTTTTTTTTTTTCATTAAAAAATTTCAAGAGTGATAAAATCGGATAATTTATTATTAATAATTAAACAATGTAAATGTATGATAAATGATGAAGAAAAAGTACAATTTTTTTTTTCTTTTTTCTTTCTTTTGCTTTGTTGTATGCGTAATGGTTTATTTTTGTTTAAAAAAAAGATAGAAAATGGAACATAAATGCGGAAAATAAGAGAATTAATCGTGCCGCAATATTCTGGATGATAGAATGACTAATTATCTTTTATAATCAGATACCTAATTTATTAACAAAATGTAATTCACAGTAAAATTTAATGCGACATCTTAAATATCATTCAGTTGCTTGTTATTGCTAGAATAATTTAAGAATAATACGATAATTGCTGGGACACTTAAAGATAATAATTAGATAGTAAGATAAATAAGGATAATTTAAGAAAAGTAATTAGATTAAATATCTAATAATAGAAAATAATTTATGAGAAAAGTATATTGTTTCGAACTACTTAAACTGCCTACAAATGATCGAAGACCGTTAGAATCAAAAAACTGAAATTTAAATTGAATAAATAATAAAAAATGAAAAAAATGATATCAGATAAAATATTAATATCAGATAATATCAGATACAATATTCAATTTATTTCAAACACTTTCCACACTATCCACGTTGTAAATAATGAATAATTTTCCAGTTTGTTCTTTAAAAAAGACAAAGCGAATATGATTGTGGGAATAAGTCATATTTGAATATAATTTTCCTTAAAATAACATGCCTTCATCATCATTAATGAGTACTACTTGACAATGAGTCGTATTTGAATTCATGATTTAACTGATAAAATGTTGGATAAAATCGATACAAATGCATAGATATAATGAATGAAAGAAAATGCATTATCACCGAAACATAGTAGAAAGGAAGAGGGATAGTATGGCAGAATGCTGTGGAATTTCGATTTCTTTCCTTTTCAAAAGAAGAAAACTTGTTTTGGCACAACAATATGTGTAATAGGCGATCGTTTTTCTTTCAGATCAACAAGTTCACATTTTCAGCCAATTTTTCGAATGCATAAATTCCATTTTCTCTTATCATGCAATGAATACTATTTTGCCATCACTCAAACTTTTTCTTATAGTTTTTTTGCTGGTATTATCACCACTATCACTATCATTACTATTACCAGTGCTATTATTATTTGTTATTATTATTAATTTTTATTTTCATTGACATTATTACTATTACTGTTATACTATTATTATCATTTTTATTGTTTCTGTTTAGCAATCATTCCCTCTGAAATGAAACAATAAACTATATATTCAACTAGCACTCTTGAAAATTTTTATTTGGATTCTAAAATTAAACATGTGATAGAATTCAAGTTCTTCCGATTATCATATTGTCATTTTATCATGGTTAAAGCAAAACTGATTTGTCAGTTTATCTGATATTTTTAATTAAAAGTTTTGAAACTATTGCCATTATATCTTATGATAAATTTAGATCGGAAATATTAGACCAGTGTATTTTTGTTTTCAATAATTATAAACATTATTAGCAGCTAACATTGTTGCCATCAAAATTACTGCGATTATTAACAGTTCACCGTTATTGTTATCCATTATCACATCGATAAATATGTTATTTCAATCAACAAATTATGCTAATTTGATTAAACTGCCAAAATTGGCAGAAACTTTCGAAAAACAAATTTGAAAGGAGCAGAGAATATTAATATAAATAGAAAATGAATAGTTTATATTCTAATAATAGGTAATATGGGATAGCGGTGAGATCAACATTCATTCATTTTGGAAAGAAATTAATCAAGAATCAATTGGAAATTTGATGTGAAATTCTTCATTCCTTAAAAATATCTTCATTTGTGAAATGATGATAAGCAAACAAAGTTGTAAAGAAAACGAACGATTATTTAAAGATATGCTAAGCAATTTTTTCAGCATATTATTCATTCAAAATTAATTACTAAAAAATTCCAATGATATATTTGAATCTTAAAGTTTTAACAAATATTACTGTTATATAAAAGATCCCTTAGAAAAACTTAGAAATAATTTTTGATGCTATTTAAATGTCGTATATTCATGTCGTTGATTTAAGGTTATCTATTTATGTCCCAATTAATGCCAAGAAATTATGTTACAGAATATTATCGATATATGTTACTGAGATTAAATTTCTTGACTTGGTAAGATTTGAAGCAAACTTGACTCATAATCGCCTAAACCTGTCTCAAATATATCAAATGATATAGATACTAATGAGAATAAAGTTATAGATACTAGCTTAAACAATATAAAATGATCAATAGGTTTATATTAAATAATGCTAATTAATCGTTCTTCGTTAAAAAAATTCTTTGTTGAAAAAAAAAAAAAAAAAAAACTCCTGGGTAAAGCAATCATCGGTGATTTTATTATTTACTCAATTCTAGCAATTTCATTATTATTATCTATATATATATATATATATATATATATATATTTATTGTATGATTTGAAATTTCCTAAAGATAGATATTAATAATATTGGATATCTTGTTAGGAAAGATTGATAGATAGAAACAACGGAGGTAGTCGAACTAAAAGAAAAAAGAAAAATGCTTCATAATTTAATATTTCGGTGAAAGGATAATAATAATTACAAGAAAGATCCTGGAAATTTCGCAAGGACAAAAAGACAAGCAAATTGGAAATTTATAGACAATTAAAAGTTAAATAAAAGTGATGAGATTGAAATTTTCATAATCACTTCTATTTTTAAGGCTAAGCTGTTAATGTGAGGGGAAGAGGAGGAAGAAGAAGAAGAAGAAGAGGAAGAAGCGAAGGGGAGAGATGTGGGGGTAGTAGGGAGTAATTAAGTTAAAAGTAAGGGCTAATGATCATTAAGTGTTGTGGTGATGCTTATGAATGTTTGAAGGGAATTCAAAATTTGTATGAGTAGTGGTAGAGATTGGAAGGGTGTATAAAAGTAGCATATTTAATAATAGTGGCAGTGAATAAGTGTGTAGCATATTTAATAATAGTGGCAGTGAATAAGTGTAAGACAAGGAAGAAGTCAAATGTTTTTTCAAAGAGTTAAGTGAGAGAGTGATTTTATCGAAATTCCTGTTTGGTAATTCATTCATTTGGTATCAAAAATTTTGATAGTATCATTGAATGATAATATTATGATTTGATGGATATCATTTTGTGTTAATGTTGAGAATTTGACGGAAGTCATTTGATGATAATATCAAGAATCTTTTTCACTTGATTTTCCACTAATTTAGAATAACGAAGAGAATGGAAAACTCATGATATCATTGACAGATGTATCACAGTCAATTTGAACTGGATTGAAAGAGATGTCAGTTTGTTATTTCGTATTTTCTTCACTTTTGTCTGGAGTGTTTCAACGTTATGCATTGAATGCGCTGGGGAAAAAAGGAACATGTATTGTTGGTAATATTATTGTATGAAAGTTAGGCAAGAATAATGGCAATTTTGTAAAATTCAGTTTACTTTTCACTTTTTTTTCTCGATTTCGCTTCAGTTTATAAGTTTATTATATAATTAACCTTGACAGAATTTTTCACTTAGACTAATATTATACATTATACAAAATTGCTGCAAACCAATTCTTACTTTTCTTTCGACTGTCAAGTAAATGAACTTTTAAATGTGACTATTGCAGCATTACTTATGGTTTGATTGTCATTATTTCAAACATTAGGAATAACTAATAATACTTATTGTGAGTGATTCACTTTAAGAAGTTTTAAGCGTAGGATTTTATGTAGTATACGTATAACATCTTTTCGTAAATAAACTAGGAATGCAAAGCGTAACTAGCTAGATAAACAAGTTTAGCGCAGTTTATTTTTCGATTGGTTAGACATTAAAATATAAGTGATATTGTTTTTTTTTTTTTTTGGTAATATTCGAGCATACACTGCAGATTAGTAGTTCTGGCCAAGTGCGAACGGAAGATGATGAATGAAGAAGGTAACCACTTGTTGGAAACATCTATCTGCTTGAGGCGAAGAAAATTTGCATCGATTGGTGTACTCTTCCTTATTAATTTACTCAATTATATGGATAGGTGCGTAATTTTTCTAAATTTTATCACTACGTTTGTGCAGTTTATTCCGAATTTTATCAGGATGTTATGAAAGACTGTTTAGATATAAAGACTATGGCGATTATTTTCGTCATGTAAATGCAGGTGTTGCGGCCATGGAAATGTTTTCTTCATAAAATGTCATATTACAAAATTCTTAACTGTAGTATTTATTTTTGTTTGCATATGCTTAGGTTATCAACAAAGTGATGATAAACATGCACAAACTTTACGGTTATTAAAATGTGGACATGATAGTTTTAATAGATAATACAGTGTAAGAAGATTAGATTGACATTGTATAATATTATCGTCTGATATGTTTTAGGTTTCCAATGTCCCTGAAATTGGATAATGATTTTGATCGTATTTAGATCATACTGAATTGGTGATTAATAACATTTAAGGTTTACAATCGCTGGTGTACTTACGCAAATACAAAAATATTTTGATATTGATGACTCAAGTGCTGGACTTCTACAGGTATACATTTGTTGTATCATAATAGAAATTAACAAATTGTGGGCAAAATTTTGGTTTTTTTTAAATGAAACCTAGTAAGATAAATTTTGGGCTTATACTTTAATTCTACTTTTGTCCTTTCCTGTCTTTTTTTAAATTGGGTAAATTAAATTAAATGTCTTAGTGGCTTGCACCACCAACCAAAGTTTATTCGTATATTAGTTCAAATTGCATTGTATTAAATTCCGTAATATTTCTTGGATTCTGTTAGTTTTTTGTTAAATTTTGTTTCTGTTAAATATGAGTTCCTAAATTATCAGTGAAATTCTGATTTATGAATAATAAGAATTAATTGAATTATGTCAGTTTGCAGACCGTATTCGTTGTGTTTTATATGATAATTGCCCCAGTTTGTGGTTATTATGGTGATCGATACAATCGAAAATTTATTCTGCAGATTGGGTTAATTGTTTGGATGACAGCAGTCATATTGTCAACACTTTGTGGTCCCGCAGTTGGTATTTGTCTTTTCTTTTGTCGTTCTGATTCAAAAAAATACTCATATTACTGAAATATGACTGGAAATGTCCCATTGAATTTATACTAATTTTTCTGATTTTCTCTTTCAGCATTTCTATCTCTTTATGTTATGTCGAGGTCTTGTGGGTATTGGTGAAGCATCTTATGTAACTATTGCACCAACAATAATTGCTGATATGTACACAGGAAATCGACGAAGTTGTGCTTTGATGATTTTCTATTTTGCTATACCAGTTGGGAGGTTCGTAATTTCAATTATATTTCTTCCTCCGTATTATTATCACTGTGAAAATTCTATTGAAATCTCAGAATTTCTATGCAAGCCCTAAAAACATTAGCTAGGATCTAATGGTTAGAATTATTCTCACTTATCTGATGATGCATAAACAGTCGTTAACAGTTGAGACATATTTCGGATAGTATATTCAAGAATACATCCACTTCATTTATTTCCTCGTCGAGACACATTACGGAATCAAACAAGCCTTCATCCTACTCACCTTTTGCCTTTAACTTTGCTGAATTAGTTTAATTTTTAAAATAAAATGTTTGGGGCTTTTAGATTTTTTTCAGTTTTTTTTAAAAGATTTAGTATATTTTAGTATAGCTTATTGTCTGTTAGCTGGTTTTGGTCTTTTAGCTTTTTAGTTTATTTTTTGAATTTTTTATTTACGATAAAAGGGTTTTTAAGCTTTTTTTGTTATTTGTTTTGTTATTTGGGTTTTTGAGCTTTTTTTTGTTAATTGCATACATTTCTTCAATAACAGTTTTTTTTAAGAACTTATCCGTAATTTCAGTGGTTTGGGATACGCCACTGGTGCAGCTTTTTCATTATGGACAAATACTTGGATGTGGGGTGTTCGTCTGACATCTATCCTTGGTATCATATGCTTTATGCTGTTGGTTTTTGTTGTTGAAGAACCAGTGCGTGGCGAAGCAGAGCACTCTAATCCTGTTCCGTCTTCATTTCTTGAAGACATCAAATATCTACTTACCGTGTTCGTTTTTTTTTTCCTGAATGAATGAATTTCTTTTTGTTCTATTGTAGTTTTTCCTCAGCAACAAAAGGGAAGATCTAATTCAGTTAGAAGTAGAACTTATCTTTTTTTTTTTTCTTCCATTATAGCAAATGCTATTCTTCTTCTATACTACTGTTGAGGTTATGGCTGCAAAAATTCAGAATAAACACTTTAAATTTTTTTAAATTTTTTTAAGACGGACGTATATTGCCACAACTCTTGGACTGACATCAGTAGTGTTTGTGGTTGGATGTTTAGGATGGTGGACGCCGACGCTAATGCAGTATGCATGGGCTGTGCATCATGGTACCAGTCATATTAGTAGTGAAGTGAAGGCTGAGTTCGTTTTCTTGTTTTTTATTATGCTGTAAAGTTTAAAGATAGATCAGATGATGACCAAAGATTGAAGGCGAATCATAAAATAATTGTAATTTTTTGCTGAAGGAATAATTTTCTAATGGATTGTTTCTTCACATCCATTTTTTTTCTAGGATCGGTTTGGTATTTGGAATCGTTACATGTCTTGCTGGTTTTTTCGGTGTTTTCTTTGGTTCAGTATTGTCTCAAGTAAGATCATTACTTTTCTGTTGATCTAATTTTGAATATGGAAAACATCTCTTTATAGCTGTTTTTCATATAATGGATATTTCAGTCTAAATCAATAAAGACTTCTGCCTTAAGAAAAGTTTGTTTTGTAAAGTGATTTTAATACTTTCCATTAAAGGAAATGCGAGCTATTTGAATTTGTAGTCAACAATTTGTAGCTTAAATTAAACTAACGATTTCTTTGTTTAGATCTGGCGATCAGGGTTCGGCAGTATTCCGAAGAATGTCCATGCTGATTTGCATGCCTGCGCTTTGGGTTCTCTCTCAGCAGTACCATTTCTATATTTCGGTCTTATCTTGTCGTCAAAAAACACGACTTTATGCTTAGTAATATTTTTAATTTTGTATAGGATGCAAGATTATTTGTATTCATTCAGTCCAGAAATTATACACCATGAAGCATTTTTCATACTCACTTTTCAGATTTTTACATTTCTCGCTGTAACCGGTTGTTGTGTTAATTGGGCTGTCAATATGGATATTTTAATGGTAAGTTAAAATATAAGCATTAGCTCTTATATTTACTTAAATGCAAAATATAATCCAGCATTTGTTTCCTTTTTCAATTGTTTATTTAAAATCAGAGTTAGAGTTTCTACTGCGATGTAATGATATTAAACTGTTTTTGAATTTCAGTTTCTGCTTTATCAACTTTTTACAAAAATTCTTATGCTGCTGTTTATACGTTTCGAAAGTGATAAAATTTCGTTTCAGTCTGTTATAAGTTTACGTCGGCGGTCAATAGCTACAGCTATTCAGACTTTAATTTCGCATCTTTTTGGAGATGCTTCTTCCCCATACATGATTGGACTTATATCGGATGCAATACGTGGTAAGTCTGTAAATTTGATTTCTTTTTCACTGAATGCCACTAATTAATTACTTTGTTTAATATCATTAGCATCATACTGTCATATCTGAGTTCATGAACTTATCTTGACAGGGCTAGCAGTGTGTCGAATTCATATTATATCTCACCAGTTGCACGAATATGAACTGGTTATTAATAGCATATTATAATTTCTCTACTCGTGTTTCTCGCAGTTACTGTCAGTTATTTTTCAACAATTAAATCACCTCTCTTAATATTTGCTCTTAATTTACAGGACATGAACGTTCTACTCTTGCACATTTTGTTGCTCTTCAGCGTTCATTGTTTGTGCCAAATTTTGTTCTTTGTTTCGGTAGTTTGATGTTTTTGGTTTCAACTTTTTACATCGATCAAGATAGACAGAATGCTCATGAATTAACACACAGTACGCATTTAATTTTTTGTCTTTGAAGCTCATCACGTAACCAATAGATTCAGATTATGCTTTTGACGAGAAACATTATGTTATACCTTAGTTACTTTTCATTTATATTTCTTATCAGCACAATCTATCTTTTTTGTATCGTTGTAATGGTTTTAGTTTCATAAGTATATCAGTTTTATTTCAGGTGAACAGCTTACTATTGAAAATGTTTCGGAAACATCACCATTAATAGATAGTGTTGAACATTCATCAACTTGAATATATTTATACCTGATATGATGTTAATTCATCAACGGATACTTCAATTAGTTTTATAAGAGGTTTGTATACTTCAGTATGCATGTACAATGTGTGAAGAAAATTCTAGAAATCTTTGATTTATTCTTTTATTTTCAAACTTTGTCGTATTGCAGGAAGTTTTTACTGACAATCTTGTGCGTACTGCTATTATGCTTGTTTTCAGTAGAATTTTAGCAGTTAGCCAAGCTTTTTATATGGATTTTGCTGCACTGTATACAACATTTTTAACACGATAAACATTTTTAATCAAAGTCTCACTCTTTCGAAACGAATCACTTTGAAATGCAATTTCATACACTTTACTGTCAATCCCTGATGAATGAATGTCTGGCGCAATGGCTGCAAGGATTCTTCAGCGCAGTCGTTGAATTGCTCAATCTCAGATATGCTTAATTTAGCCGCATGAAATTAATTTGAAAGGTATTTTCAAATTAATTTCATGAAACTTGATGAATCTTACAAACTTGTAAACTTTTAACTTCTAATTCCTGCACTCTTTTATAAGCTAATCATCACACCTTGTTTTATACGACATATATTAACAGAGTTAGTTATAAATAACCAACTAATGATATGCTATCGTATATATATAACTATAGCTTTGTGACTAACAAAGAATTTAAACTACTGTTTAGTGAGCTTTCCAAATTATCCGATTTATGAATGAAAATATCCCGAAGTTCGAGCAGAGAATAAGAACATAATAAATGGAATACTTTGATAACCTTACTTCTTCTAGTTCATTTTCTGCTGAAATAATACTCATGAATGCAAAATACAGCAAATTAACGGCGACTTTATCTCTTTATGAACGTATTAACAAAGCACTCTGTAGCATTAAATAACAGTGACTGTTGTCGTAGTTAGAACAATGACTGTTCTAATTAGTGAATATTCTCACCAGTATTAATAATATATTCGAATTATAACTACATCTCAAATATTTGCTATGTAGTTGTACATTCCTTTCACGCATTTTTTAACTCAGATGTGATTTCTAAGTACGTTAACAACAGCTAACAGATTAGACTACTACTTTATTGTCTTATTCTATAAAGCAATTAATATTTCATACGCAGCAAAGGATCAGCAATATTTATCACTTTTTGTTTTAACCCGACGTTCCAATAACAATTCATGTAAGTTGCCTTCTTGCTGGGCACGACGCACGGATTCTTTATCGTCCAAATTGATATTTATATATTTTCCTTTAACGGCAACTTTCGAATGCTGATACATTTTCCTGTAAGTGAATGCAAGTAATTTAGCAGAATTAAGATAGTGGTGTTTCTCATACGAAAAGGAAAGATATGTATCCCATATGGAACAAATAATTAAGTCTTAAAATAGAACAAATTTCAAGATCAAAGCATGAGGAAAGAGTTTTTTCTGAAATTCGAAAATATGTCCACAAATTCACGATTTCACCAATGTTTTTAAAAATTCGAGATACAGTGGAAAAAGTGCGTACACATAGCTTGTTTCGCATTCGGCAGCCGATTTTCTATCTTCCTCTGAACGCCAGTCAACAGGTCCTTCCTTTTTGGAGTCGGTTCGTAACTGGAAATATCAAAAAGCCTGAGTTCAGATATTAAATAAACTTTTCAACATTAGGTTTGCAAACAGTGTTTTTAATAACATAAATCGAAAAATAAATTAAGTTTAAACCGTTAAAACCAAATCTTTATATTTGGCTAAATTTGAAAGGATTTATATAATGGAAAAAAATAAATACCCAGACCCAATACTAATGAATAGTCATAAAATTAATGATAGCCTTTTCTATTTTAGACTTCTCTGAAACACAACGTACCTTAATCATTTCATCAACTTCCGCTTTTCGACTTGTAACACGTATATAACCTTCAGCATCAGGTTTCATGCTCAAAAAGAGATTGTTCGAAGCAGACTGTATTGCGGTTTTACCCTATGATCGGAATAATAATGTAGTAGATCAAAATTCTACCAGTAGAAAAAATTGGTTCACGAAAAAGATTTAAAAAAACTATCTCCTCCGATTGGAAAAAATCTTAATGGATGACAAAATACCTCCTGGAAGACAACAATCATACGTTCTCTCGTTCCAATAGCATCAGCTGTAGCGATAAGGTTCCCTTCTGAATCAACGCCAACATATTTGCCAAAACCTGTTTTCATGCTGATAAGCACATCATCTGGTGTTTTTATTAATGTAAGCATCTGAAAAGAATTTAACAAATTAGTGAAGACTATTACTGGCTTATTTATCAGCACTCCAATTTTCCTCATTATATATATACGGAGGAGGAATAAAATATTTCAACTTCGGAGATGGTAAACATTCTTATCTTTAAAAATATAACATATTTAATACACTCAACTACCACATTTTTTAATGATAGATCGAAAAAACTGTGCAAAATAAAGTAAAATAAACGGTAAGTTGATAAAAATGATAATTTCATACCTTATAAACAAATTAAATGATAGGAAAATTAGTGAATCTTGAATGAAACCACTTTTCAAACAACACAAATGAAGAATTCTATTATAATTGTGAAATGATAGCATAAAGATATCATAGATCTAAAGACATCTTACACTAACCACATGTTACATTTATTAAGCAACTAACTTCTTCTGGATTTGGTCCTTCGCCAGCTAAGTGTGGTCCACCAATCGTAAATCGGCCATTATCCATGGCAGCCAGATATGTCCCTGGCGTTGTGTCACATTCAATGCATATGTTTATACCACCTCGAAGATCAGTTTCATTCTCTATTGATCTCCAACCACCTGTACAAATGAGTAAAGTGAAAGCAAAACCTTGTAATATTCAGAAAGCTCGGCAAAAACAACACAGCTGCGATTAGCCATAATTTGAAAACAATTTCAGTTATGAAATTAAGTACGACTGGAACTATTGGAACGACAAACATCTGTAAGAAATGCAAATGTAGAGAATATATGACCTTGAGATATATTCCTTACTGATCAAGCAATCTGATATTTAAGATATATTTGAGAAATCACCTATTTCCTAATTACAGATTACACTAGCTGAAACAATTTAAATTCGGCTACAGAAATTATGTGGACATATTGTGTCGGATAAATAAAACCATTCCAGGGATCTGTTAAAGTAGTGGTGATGCGCACTCAGTACATTGTACATTTATGAGCACTAATAGGAAAACGAGACTGACGAACATTCGCCAAATAATTATTTCAAAAAGCACATTTATATTGTTCCCAAACAAATCTGTCCATGACTCAACAGTAATATATGATATTCAAACAAATTCCAGGATCCATCCGTTATTTAGTGGCCAAAATGTTAAGTGGCATTCTACAGTAACGACCACTGGTCAAACAATCAAGATAAAAATCCGTATGATAAGAAAAATATTCTGGAATACCTGAAGAAGTATCAATGACCATACATATGAAAATGTTCCCGATCTTGAGTTTTGTTTTCTTCCAACCTAAAACGTTTTTATACTTAAGGATGCAAACAATTTACCATGAATCTCGACATCCGGATTAGTCGGCGTGCCATCGCTCTCTCCAAATTTCTTCTTTTTCTTGGATTTATTAGAAAACCTGTGGAAAATTTACTTTTAAAAGAAGCACAAAAAGAGATGCAATTTTCCATGTTTTAAAACTGCTAAGTCTTGCAAATTTCTCAATCTCATCCAAAAATTCACAAATGCTATGAATGCTTTGTTATATGAGCAATTATTTTACGAGATTTTTCAGAAAAATTAAAATACTTCAAGAAATCGTACAAATAAAGAAAAAAAAAAAGAACTTGAAAATTTACAATGATTTATTTCCTTTAAGTTTTATCGGACCACGCTTAACTGCATGATAAGCATCACTTCTAGAATTCATTCCTTTCGTAAAACGTCTTTTAATCTGCAAAAATTTACATCCTATTATTCCTGACTGCAATAAAACAAAAAAAAGAAAAAGACAACCAGCAAGTAAAACCTAACTTTTCCAACGTACAATAGTCCTTGAAGCATCCCGCAATGAAAATCACAATCCCAGCCAAAACAAAAATGAAATAATAGAAATTGATATTAAGAGGCTATAATCCTCCGACCTGAGATGATTGATCTGTGTAGCATAATTGTGTCTTAATAGCTTTTATATCAGTGATTCTTGCTTGAACCACACTAGATATTCCGGATGGTGGAGAATCCGTCTAAAGATTGTAAGTGATAACTGTAAATGATCCATGATTGCTGGGCTCTGTAAGATAAACAAATTGCTGCACTAATGAAAGCTTAAAGGAACCTAGTAGTAGCCTGGCGAGGGTGATACTGTCTGCAAAGAGCAGTTCCCGGATAAGGTGACCTACTCGAGAATGAATCGGTTCTCGTCCATATGGTATCGAATATAAATATCGTTCTCTTCATCAAAATCTACAGTAATTGCTTAGAGTATCATGCAATAATGTGAATAGAATTGATGCGGAAATGTGCGTAATCTTGTTTTATGCCATTGATTATCGGAGATTGAGTTACGTTGCTCATCGGGCAAAATGGTGATCATTTTGAGAAATTTTGGAATTATAGATTTTCTTAGAAATCGTTCCAAAATTTATGTTTTTTTTTTTTCTCAAGATCTTTTATATAAATATATATTATAGTTCTTTGTTCCATTCTTCACATTTTTGTGACAATTTATCCGAAAATAAAATCATGTTTGTGATGCTTCGTAAGCTGTCAAATAGAAATGCTTCTAAGATAGTGAATACTATTTGTAAGAATGGTAAACAAGGATGAAAAAAAAGGTAAAGAATTTTGTTTAGAATCCTTGTAATTTTTGATAATGCTCTTTGATAGATTTTTTTTTTATTATTCATTTAAGCAAAGCAGTATTAGAAAAAATTCATTGCAAGAAAATTCATAGATATTGAAATTAATTAATCAATAAGTTTTAAAAAGGAAGAAAGAAGATTGATAGAACAACGAGATGTCACCGGTATTGTGGCTCTGCAAAAGCATTAAAATTATTAAAAATTATATATCATACACGATGATAATAAAGCTAAATTTTAGCGTTCAATTTATTTAGCTATAAATAAAGTTTATGCTATGGAAGGTAGTGGATGAAAATTTTGATGAAATCATTTAGCATGCATAAATTTATAATATTAATTGCAAAAGATATAACAATGCAGTTATTCTCTTTTGTAGTAGTATGTCAATTTTGATGTGTAAAAGAATGAGAGCGAAATAAAATAAAACAGAATGAAACTATACAAAAATTAATCTCAATTGCTTTATGTAAAATATTTTTTCACAATGTAAAAACGCAACTGAAATGGAAATTATTAAAGAATAAAAGATTAAACATTAATAATATTAATATTACATTACTGCACGTGAATATAATATACATTATCAGTACAATAGTTTGCCACTCCCATCTAAACAAGCATATATATCAATGTCATCCTTTGACATTATTTAATAGAAGTAAGTGATTTAACTCTCTTCGATAAATTTCGTTCAGTAAGTTCCATTTCACTGATTTCAAATTTTACATTGTAAGAAATAACATGTAGCAACATAACTTATTCACACTGAACACTGATGGATGTCCACAATAAACTTTTATTATTTTTCTACCAAATTTATTGTCATATAATTTGCGTTTAGGTTGATCTTTAGCGTGAATAAGTTGTTATGCTTACTGTTTGATTTCAGATGTTTATATTTTGAATATGCGACGGTTCCCTTTTTCAATGCTAATAACATATTTGGGAAAATAATTTTCTTTTTTTCTTTCAACGTAATTCGTCAAATAGATATTATTTCTTCAAAGTTTTAGAATTGATAAGAAAAATTCATCAACATGCATTACATCCATTTCGTCTTCTTCTATTTCCTTCAACTAAGCCATGCTCAAACTATTGTAAGTTTATTTCAAATTATGGAAATAAAATATAGTACTGCAATATTTTGATAATTTTTCAGAGTTTTAATGAAATTACAGTTTTAATGAAAATCCACAGTTGTAATGAAAAGAGAAAGTTTGTACAATTTAAGGAAGCGCAAACGGTACAGACAGAGCCACTGGATTTATCAATGTCAAAAATAAGAAAGGAACAAAGTGAACAACAAGAGCAACATGTTTTAGTCAAAGAAGAAGTGGAAAAACCGGCAGAATTATTAGATTTATCAGCTGAAAAAGAGAATATTGAACAAGATAGTTATGAACAACAGGAAGGATTATTGAATTTACCATTCAAGAAGCGATTCAAGAAAATCCATCGCTCTTCAGCTAATGATGCAATTAGTAAAAAGGTAGAGTTATTGCATGAGCAAAGAGCTGAAGAAGGACATAAAAAAAAAGAGTGTGAAAAGTATCAAAAGGTAGTAGGAAACCATAATCGGCATGTGATAAGTCATACCCCTGAAAAGCTAAATTATTGTCCTGTATGCAAGAGACCATTCAGTTACCTGGCAAATATGAGACGTCATATGAAAGCTGTTCATAGCTTATAGAGATTGCAAGATAAATGCAAAAAATTTCCGGTATACCTTTCAATTTTGAAAATGATCATTGAATTCATATGAGGAGCCAATTTAGTTCTATTTTGCAATGCAAGTTTCTCGTAGAAATTTCTTTTAAAATTACATATGATATAAATTATGTTAAATTTTAAGTTTTAAAACTATAATGATATTATTTTCAGTGCTTTTTTTTTCTGATTGTTTGTTTTTATTAGTTAAATTCTTGTTATTTGTGCCTTATTTTTCACTGTTCTCTTATTGATATTGTTACTATTGTTATTTTATCACTTACTTATAACTGATTCATTTTTTTATCTTCTGTGCATATCAGTATTTATTCTTTTATTTCTTTATTATTTCAAATATTTTAATAAATAATTTTTCTTTTTTGTATCCTTTTGCAAACCTTACCGCTTTATTATTATTAATGCATGCATAACATGCAAGTAAATTTGCATATCATAGACGGATAACATTGCAAGTAATTATTAATTTTATTAAATTACTAATAGAATGAACTTATCTGATAACATTTTTTCATCTAATTATTACGCAATTAACACATAAGTAAATTTTGGGAAGGGAAAAAGTACATTTTAATTATTTAACATTCATCAATTACTTTACAAGAAGACTAATTCATTGTAGAGAATAACGTTTGAAAGAAATTTTTTACCTGTATACTTGAAATTAACAAAATTAACGAAAGTTAGTAATTTTTCTTGGGGAGACTTTCTTTTCCTTAATTCGTTAAAATAACTATTATTATAACTGATATAAACGAATGCATTGAACGCATTGAGTGGAAGGTCTGTAACGATTTTATTCGCTAGCAACCAATGTGCAAAAGTATTAATCTATAATAGCAACAATACCTTAATAATTTGTAAAGTGTCTACGAATAAAATGAAGATGAATAAGTTGATGGGGAATTTAAAGGAATTATATGAACTGTGAGTTTGAGGTGTGTTTTCCTGTGAGTTATTTATTCTTTGTGACTCTACGAATGAGATGAAAATGACTAAATGAATAAATTTATCCGATAATCTTAATTCTTTATATAATGGGAGACAGGTTTTTATATTGTCAAGGAATGACTGTTAGATTAGAAAACTTTTATAGTATTTCGATATTGCAAGCAAATTTGATTTGGAAAAAAGGAATAGTTTTTAATGTATTAAACAAGGCACATAATCTTTGCTAGCAGTTAAAAATTTTTGATAAGCAGATAAGTTCAACAACAATAGGAGGATGAATATTGGAATAATCATTGTTTACATGGGATGCAATTTGAAACACTTTTATATTTTTATTAATTTTTTTCATACATTTTGTAAATTATTTGTAAGTTTGCGAAAGATTCATTTCGAGTTTCAAGAAATTATTACATTTTTCAAATATCACTTTCAAAAGTCATCATACTAAAAACATCTAGAAAAAAAAAGAAAAAAACAAGAATGCTACACAAAATGAAGTCCTTAATAGTGATAATGATAATATTGATAATGATAATGTTTCATAATTATTGTTCTGAAATTTTTCCTTTTAAAATCTTTTAATAAAAATATCAATTTTTTTCTAAGTAATAAAGAACATCTCAATATCAATAATGATAGTAATGATAACTTTCATCATTGAAAGTTTTCCCACCGAAACTTTTTAATAAAATCAAAGTTTTTTAATTCCATTTTTTCGTGATTTTATAAGTGCCAAAAATTATTGAATTAACACGATTAAAAAATGTGCAACATACTTTAAAATTATACTATTTTTTTCTTCATTCTGAAATAATTATTTTATTAATAGTTTGAATTAAAAACAAATATCATCGCAAGCATCTATGCCTCACATTGTTGAGTGAAATACCACTTGAAATCACATTTATAATACTTATATCAGTGAAAACTTGTACATGGAATGAAATGAATAATACGTATTTCAAATATAGCAAAAACTTAATATTCTAAAATAATATTATAATATGTCCACTGATTTATATAAAAATGAATTTTGTACAAAGAAAATCACTTCACACATGTTTTTCACAACTAATCTGATTTTAATATCTTACATCTTTATCAATTATTTTATTTTTGATCTCTTATTTCTTACCTAACTTTACTATATGTTCTTTTTTTGATTCTTTTTTACTTATACTAAATTAACATTCTTATCACGTGGTGAGTCTGCAATTAACAAGTCGTTTGTTTTTTGACAATTCTCATTTTTGGCAATTCTCACTGAAAATTAATAAAGAATATTGGCGATGACTTTCACTTTAATAACTGTATACATATGCTATATATTATGCAAGTCACTTTATCTCAAAAATTTCTTTCAATGCTAATACTTCAACTTCTCTTCCTTTCACCCTAATCATCTATTCTCCGTTACAATATGCTCCATTTCTTATACTTGTTTACCTGTGCTACTTCACACTATCAACACCGATATTAAAAAGAATTTTTCTAAGATCAAGGAAAAGAAAGTCTCCCCAAGAAAAATTACTAACTTTCGTTAATTTTGTTAATTTCAAGTATACAGGTAAAAAATTTCTTTCAAACGTTATTCTCTACAATGAATTAGTCTTCTTGTAAAGTAATTGATGAATGTTAAATAATTAAAATGTACTTTTTCCCTTCCCAAAATTTACTTATGTGTTAATTGCGTAATAATTAGATGAAAAAATGTTATCAGATAAGTTCATTCTATTAGTAATTTAATAAAATTAATAATTACTTGCAATGTTATCCGTCTATGATATGCAAATTTACTTGCATGTTATGCATGCATTAATAATAATAAAGCGGTAAGGTTTGCAAAAGGATACAAAAAAGAAAAATTATTTATTAAAATATTTGAAATAATAAAGAAATAAAAGAATAAATACTGATATGCACAGAAGATAAAAAAATGAATCAGTTATAAGTAAGTGATAAAATAACAATAGTAACAATATCAATAAGAGAACAGTGAAAAATAAGGCACAAATAACAAGAATTTAACTAATAAAAACAAACAATCAGAAAAAAAAAGCACTGAAAATAATATCATTATAGTTTTAAAACTTAAAATTTAACATAATTTATATCATATGTAATTTTAAAAGAAATTTCTACGAGAAACTTGCATTGCAAAATAGAACTAAATTGGCTCCTCATATGAATTCAATGATCATTTTCAAAATTGAAAGGTATACCGGAAATTTTTTGCATTTATCTTGCAATCTCTATAAGCTATGAACAGCTTTCATATGACGTCTCATATTTGCCAGGTAACTGAATGGTCTCTTGCATACAGGACAATAATTTAGCTTTTCAGGGGTATGACTTATCACATGCCGATTATGGTTTCCTACTACCTTTTGATACTTTTCACACTCTTTTTTTTTATGTCCTTCTTCAGCTCTTTGCTCATGCAATAACTCTACCTTTTTACTAATTGCATCATTAGCTGAAGAGCGATGGATTTTCTTGAATCGCTTCTTGAATGGTAAATTCAATAATCCTTCCTGTTGTTCATAACTATCTTGTTCAATATTCTCTTTTTCAGCTGATAAATCTAATAATTCTGCCGGTTTTTCCACTTCTTCTTTGACTAAAACATGTTGCTCTTGTTGTTCACTTTGTTCCTTTCTTATTTTTGACATTGATAAATCCAGTGGCTCTGTCTGTACCGTTTGCGCTTCCTTAAATTGTACAAACTTTCTCTTTTCATTACAACTGTGGATTTTCATTAAAACTGTAATTTCATTAAAACTCTGAAAAATTATCAAAATATTGCAGTACTATATTTTATTTCCATAATTTGAAATAAACTTACAATAGTTTGAGCATGGCTTAGTTGAAGGAAATAGAAGAAGACGAAATGGATGTAATGCATGTTGATGAATTTTTCTTATCAATTCTAAAACTTTGAAGAAATAATATCTATTTGACGAATTACGTTGAAAGAAAAAAAGAAAATTATTTTCCCAAATATGTTATTAGCATTGAAAAAGGGAACCGTCGCATATTCAAAATATAAACATCTGAAATCAAACAGTAAGCATAACAACTTATTCACGCTAAAGATCAACCTAAACGCAAATTATATGACAATAAATTTGGTAGAAAAATAATAAAAGTTTATTGTGGACATCCATCAGTGTTCAGTGTGAATAAGTTATGTTGCTACATGTTATTTCTTACAATGTAAAATTTGAAATTAGTGAAATGGAACTTACTGAACGAAATTTATCGAAGAGAGTTAAATCACTTACTTCTATTAAATAATGTCAAAGGATGACATTGATATATATGCTTGTTTAGATGGGAGTGGCAAACTATTGTACTGATAATGTATATTATATTCACGTGCAGTAATGTAATATTAATATTATTAATGTTTAATCTTTTATTCTTTAATAATTTCCATTTCAGTTGCGTTTTTACATTGTGAAAAAATATTTTACATAAAGCAATTGAGATTAATTTTTGTATAGTTTCATTCTGTTTTATTTTATTTCGCTCTCATTCTTTTACACATCAAAATTGACATACTACTACAAAAGAGAATAACTGCATTGTTATATCTTTTGAAATATTAAAAAAAAAAAAATTTTTTTTGAACATATTTTGCAATACCTAAATATTTAAAGTTCGTTTGCCCAACACTTTGATAGCTTCGAATATCAAATGTGATAATTACAATTGGTTGCTTTTCTTTGTTGCTTTCTTTTCAAAATTTTCGTTTTTATTTTCTTTGTTATAAGCTCAAACTAATATTAGCAACAAATTTTTATTGTTGATTTATTCATTTAAATCAAAAAAAATTAAAAGGAATCGGATAATTAAAAGGAGTTCAATTTGATCGATGCCAAATATATTTGTTATTGTAGTTAGTATAGACGAATGTGTTGAGTGATAGTTTATTGTAACGATTTTATTTGCTAGCAATCACAGTATACAATATTAATAGTAAAATTATTTTGTAAAACAAAATTGTGATTTTTTTTGTAAAACTGAATTGTGATGAATCGGTCATATACAAACAATGCCAGTGATAATGAAGATTAAATCAATTCATACAATTCAAATTTTTTTGCATTTTTCTTTTTATTTTTCGAAATTATATTTCAAAAGAGAAAGTGAGTTTTATTTCATTCACTGATGTGCTTTTCACATAAATTATTATTTCGTTACATCAAAAATCTATTAAACAATGGCAATATATAATGAATGAATAAAATAATGAAATACATATTTTCACATCAAAAAAGAACTTATTTCAAAATACAAATTATATATATGATTTTTTTTTTTTTTTTAATTTTAATTTTTTCTTTAATTTAAAGAAAAGAAGGAAATACAGTTGTTTGTATGGATGATAAATAAGTGTAAGCATGCATGCTTTCTTTTTCTTAAACAAAATAACTTTTTGTACAATTGCTATCTTTCATTTCCGTAGATCTACTGATTGAAGTCGACCAATTAATCATGTTCATTACGTTAATCAATTTCAATTATATCAACAAAAAGAAATCTAATAGATAAAATCAATAAAATAATAATTTGAAGAGAACAAATTAAGCATTTGCTAATGAACGCGAGATATCTACAATGAAAAATTACTGGTAATACGGTTTGAACTTATATTTTATTGCAATATAAATGTAATATTTGTGTTTGATAAAGCAAAAAAAAGAAAAAAAAGAAAAGAATATTCAAGATATGTTAACACAAAATTATTCCATTTTTCATTTTCAATAATTTTTGATGTCTTTTTTGCTACTAATTTTATATAACGCTTCAAATTATATAACGCTTCTCATTTTCATTTCATGAACAATCAGAATAGTAATTCGTCACTCCGTTATTACTTCTGCAGAATATGACAGAACAAAACATATCATCTAGTGTTCACTGATTGGTCGTACAAAATGCATGAAAGCAGTAAACATCCAATTGTAACTACCACTTCTGATATTTGAATTTGGAGCTATCGAAATGTTGAGTAAACGAACTCAAACACTTAGATATTGCGAAATATTTTAATTTTCTTTTTTGGATATTGAAGATGTCAAAATACTGTCATTACCACATCGAATTCATTTTGTCTTCATTGCTTAAATGTTTAATGAATAGAAGATATTTGACTTAACAAGCAAATAATAAATAATAATAGATTGGAATTCACATACTTTTTTTTAAATGAATATATATAGAAACAATAATGAATATATTATTGTAGGATTCGAGCTAAAATTATTTATCAACAATATTTCATTTCTCCACTATTAATGTGCACTCATTATTTATCCGCATTATTCGAAATATCGATTCATTTTGCCAACTTTCAATAACCTGAAAATAAAAATTTCAACCATGCGAATTATTATTATTTTTATTGCAACGGCAACATAAATTAAATTGATTTTGATTTTTTCTTCCTAAACCAAATATAACGATAGTATTCAGAAACCTTCTATCACTTTTTATCCTCGATGGAAAATAAAGATGAACAACCTGATCAGTAACACGAATTAGAATATCACGTGGTCCACGGACGAATATTTGTCTCACCGCTGAAGAGGTAATTTTTCCCATTTTCTCCTTTAACTCATCCAAAGTTCCATCGTACAACCTTATCATGTTGTATATGCTATTTCCTTCTAATGCCATATAAATTGTTATCAGTGGTTCAAGTGCTCTAAATATGTTTTTAATTATTTCAAGTGTTGCAGAAAATATTATGAGTGAAAATAATATACTATAAAGAATAAAAAAAATAAAAATAAATAATATACTATTCTTTCCATTCCTGGAAAAAATGAAAATTTCAACCAATGTTTTAACAAAATGAGTCATTTAGTAGAGAAGTAAACCAAACTGTAATTATTTATTAAAAAAATGTTTACTTTTTACGTAATGCCTGAAATAAACGCAAAGCTTCGGATTTATCACCAATCAGAGAATTCAAATCTAGTGTGCTTAATCGAAGAATATCTTCTCCTACAATAATATAAAGTTGATTTAAATGAAATCTATTAGTTTTTACTGAATTATTTGCTTTGAAAAATAATAAAGACTGCAAAATACACGAAGATTTATATGTTTTCAAATGGAAAATACCTTTAAGCTTGAGACATGAAAAGTTCGAATACACTAGTTCAAATACCGTTGAGCAAATGGACTTCACAATATAGAGATACAAAGATTATATCTAGTATAGTTTGTTTAGCACTGCTTCCTTCGTCAGGAAAGCAAATTAGATTTCCAGGAATGCCTACTTTTCGGTTACTGTAAATTATGCAATATTGTAAAACAACTAGCGAATATAAAGCAATTATTCGAAATTAAAAGCCAAACCACTGTAATTGTTAAAAATATGAGTGCAGTTGGTAAAACGATGTGATTCCAGCCATTTCATAACAAAAGCCGCTGAATGACTAGCACAAATGCGCACTTCATTAATATCTGCTTCAGTTACTGAATTTTCTCGTGAATAATTACTATCCACCGATAAATTACAATGCCTTTTCGATATCACTTGCTCCATATCATCAAATGCAGTCGCAACACGTAGAAGTTTACTCCTTCCCAATGAAGCTCCAATGTATTCGACTTGTTCGGTAGGAGTTACTCTTTCTTCACTATCGACATCATAATCAAAATCTGCACCCAATAAGAAAGTATAATCATACGATGGCTGATATTGCTCCTGCAAATTTATACAATATTTGAAAAAATGACAAAGATTTTAAAGATTCGCCTACACTGGATAACAATCATTCTTAGGACATAGGTACATTCTGAAGGAAGAACTTCTGAAAATAAACTTCAGCAGTAACATCTATCGATTCGACCTGCCTAAATTTAATCTATTTAATCTATTCAATACGATTTTTCTAAAGATTCCAACGTATCCTTTTCAAATAAAATTATACTATTGCCTGCGACTATTATCAATATTCCTTCACTGATCATCAATAAATGACAGCACAATAAGGAAAAGAATCTACCTGATTCGCATGCAATGTTGCTTTCTTTCGTTCTGTTCTTCTCTTCCTCTCCGCACCATGAAGCTATAACAGAAGATATACTAAATTCAATTCAACTCGATAACATATTTCTCAAAATTCATGAAATTTGGGAACATTTATTAAAATGCAAAAATTAACCTTGAAAATTTGAATAAGTGAACTATTTTGCTGCAAAAGTTCTAATGATCTGTATGAATAAGTTTGGAAAACGAGTCGAAATGGTTCTCCCTTCTCACCGCAGCTATCTGTAACCATTGTATAGCTTAAACATTTTAGAGGTAAGCAAAAAGAGAAGTGTAAAAAGCTGATCAAAATCCTATAATGTTATTCATTGGATTTGAAGCAATTTTTTTTTCTTTGTCAAACTAATCATTTTTTAATTAAAAAAGTTTTCGGTGTATCTACGAGGCACCGAAGGCAGTTGAACAGAATTATTAAGAACAGAACGATAAAAGAAGAGGTTATACATAATGACCACTTTTATTATCGAACGATTCGAATAAAATGGAATTAATCAAAACATCAATCTATCTAGTAACATAATTAGTTTTTTTTTTTTTTTTTTTTTTAATGATTGAAAAGCTTATCGCAAATATATTATACATTCTGTTTTAAAATAGCAATCCTTCTTAACAATTATATTCAACTGCATAATTTATGACTGCCATTTCAGCGTTAAGGAAAGCCAATGTTTTTCGCTACTAAACAGTATGAAGTTAGCTAGGCATTTGATAGAATATTTTACCAACAAAATCCGAGCTTAAGACGAAAAATTTGATAAACAAAGAAGCATTTGGTAGCGAACCATCCCATACAAATTCAGCTGAACGTAACGCATATTTGACTTGTGATACATTTGAACAGCGCGGCATATCTAAATAATAATTAAAATTCGATTATGAAAATTAATTTAAACTTGCCAAAAAATCCCATTCTTATTGTTCAAGATGGCCATTTTAGATTTCATTTAAATCTTCAATATGCTGATCTTGTTCTGAACGACATTCATATTGAACTTGCCTAATGTGAAGAAGCGTTTTCCTGGATTTTTCGCCTTCCATATTTCCATTAAGTCGTTCATCTGGTAGCGCAACTTTTTGCTGTCGAAACAAATGGTTATCACTGTCTAGATATAATTAAAATGAGTAGTTCGTTATCCAGAAATACTTTACGCGCATTAGGCGCAAAAGAGTCACTGTCTTTTTTTCTGAAGGAAGAAGGAAGAAAACTTTTATAAAAAAAGTGTAGACGAACAGAATAAGTTTTTAATGCATAAGAAGGCAAACGAAATAAATTTTCATGTTTGCTAATGTAGAGACTCGAAGTTACGTCGGAAAGATAGGTCAGACTGAATGTCAGATCGTGGAAAAAAAAAAAAACAATTAGTAAAAAAAGTGTATGATCAATTTCGAATTTTAATATTTAAATGTTTCGACCAACTTTGTAACATGAATCCTGTCCATCGGAATATGGTTCAAGTGCACATTTACGACATTTAATTTCATACGGTCGATTTTGATTAAGAAATGTTACTGGTTGTTCATGTAATGGTATTGCAGCTGAAGTTGGTGCCATCAGAATGTATTCCAACCTACAGGACAATATATCAGTATATGTATATATAGATATTTTAAATGATCACTATCCTCTTTCTTTTTTATGTTTTGTCGATTACTGTAATTTGCTGTAAAATTAAGCAGTAATCTTACTAATCTGAAAAAAGGAATGTTAATTGTTTAATAATTTTGTATTAAACAATAATGCTTTTCTTCAATATTTTTTAAAAAATTAATATTAAAATAAATGAATCATTTCTCATTTGAATTTTAATAAATGTGACTTAATCATCTGATTCTTTAAATAAATGTAACCTAATTATTCGATTCTCATGATTTTAGCTCAAATACAAAGTATTTCATAGAAATAGATTTAATTCAAATAAAATATTTCATCTCAATTCAACCAACATTTTCAAATAATTCTTTCTAATCACATTAAAAAACACATCAAAACATCTTCTTAATATGAATGAAAGAATGATTATCAGTTATTACTGGATATTATTTTAAAGAAAAAATAAAAAAAAGAAAAAAAAGAAAGACAAACATAGCAGTTGCTGCAGAAGAAATATTATGCCACGTGGTATTACGTGATATTGTAGTACTATCCGTTGACTGCCAAATACTTTCATCGTCATTCTCATGTGAAGGTCCCGGCAGAAGATCACATGCTGATAACATTACAACAAACCTAGCAATCAAATATTATTTAATATTTTATCTTAACCACTTCGTGTCGTGTAAATTTATCAAAAACATTACTCAACAGTTCGCTTTTTTCCACGAATCAAGAAATAAAAAAAGAAACCTTACAAAAGCGACACACTGCTACGGACAACAATATATTTCTATTACTTTTCAAACATTTGAAACCTTAAGTCTCTCATATTGGAATATCTTCTCTTATGTTGGGATCTGTTGCAAACAAGAATAATCAAATAACACTAATAGTTTTTATATGTCTAATATTCATTCTCGAGCAATTCATACTACTAAACTAAAATTTAATTGACCAATAGCAATATTAAAGTTTTAATTGGAGAATATATATGGAAAAAAACAACTAAAATTAATAAACCCAACCATCAATAAACTCCGGAAAAAAATCCTAACTCTTTTTTTTTGTATATTTTTTTTATATTTAAAATTTTGTATATTTAAAAAAAATATAACTTAGCACATATTCCTGCTTTTCCTATTTCATCACAAAATCCATCGATCTCGGAAATACAAGAGCCAAGCGGAATAGCTCATTGACTTTTGTAAAATATAAACAGAAAAATTTATTTAAACACAATGTGTTCGGCACCCAGTAATAAAATCTCAACAAAATACTTACCATTTTTGATAAAGCTTATCAAAAAAAAAAAAAAAAAAAGGAAACATGAAATCATCACAGCGTTTCTTCCAGCCCTCATAACAAACAATATTTTTGTAAGAAATTTCGATATAATATGTAGATAAACATGAAAAAAGTGAAAGGATAATAATGATTTGTAAGTCAAATAGCTGAAAAATATATCCCATCTGTTTTCTTCTCATTCTTAATAAATGAATCTTTATCAAAATTTTCCCACACGACCAAACATCCATACAAATGAAAAAGAGATTTTGTACATAGTAAGCTGCCCATCATATCTTTTACAAGAATTCTTCCACTTAAAATTAAGTAACAAGTTTGATCAAGATTATCCAACAAAACAAACGTTTTCAATCTGGCCTGTAATCTATTCCTCTCAAATGCAGAGGATAACAAAGAATCTCAAAGGATCAAAGATTTAACATGAGCTTAACATTATCCAAATAAACCGTAAATCAGAATGAACGTAGAGAAAGAGAAGAGAAAACATAATTAGAGGAAGAAATGAGTAATAATAATAACATTATTTCATCTGATTGTATATTTAATATGAGAGAAAAGGCAATAATATACATATTCAGATTAACTTAATAAATCGTATAATTCATTTATTCCTAACACTTTCTGAGTGAAGTGACTAAGTTAGGCTCATGTATAAATATAGTGTACTTAAACACATCTAAACATATAAATAAATATCGCTATTTGAATGTAACCAGGCACTGTTCAAAACTATAAACATATCATAAATAATTGCAAGAAATTCCCAAAATATTTTAGTAATACATATTATATAACTTGCTGCGCTTTTTTCAGGGGACCGAATTGCCAATTACCGCGGTTGTTGGCGGTCCAACAATTATTTCTTGTCTGCCTAAAAAAATGACTTACTCATAACATCCAAGTCCAAGACATTATGCGGAACACAGAAAATTAATAAAACAGGCTGTAAGGATTGTAATTTGAAACATTAGTTATAAAGTTTAAAAATGTCTTACTTGATAAGGAACCAGTTGGAGAAATTGCTGCGGATGATTGCTGTAACTGTGCACTTTCCTTCCTGTAGAATGCTTCTACTTCATCAAGCTCACGAGCAAATTCTGCTTCCAGTGCCTATAATAAGTACATAAATTTGCAATATATTACCTTCGACCTCTTCAACTTTAATCCAACATAACATTTCGAGCTAAAAAAGCAATGCTTCCCGAGTCATGGCAGATCAATCACTAGCAAAAGTTCCGTCTTTCACTAAAATCATTTGCAGTATTATTGACCAAAAGGCTTCATTATTTAAGGTACTAAGTTCTTGCTTTTCTTGAACTGTAAAAGTAGAACTTTTTTGCAAATCTATAATGATATTCAAAAAAAAAAAAAAAAAACGAAAAACCTTCCATACCTGTTTTCTAATAGGTAAGCCAGCTTTCCAGTCAGCTATCACTTGTTCATATTCTTTCTCGTACATTTCCATTTTATTTTCCTCTGCTTCTAACAACATTTTACGTTTCTCACTCTGAATTAATACCAAGTTAATAAACAATGAGATGCTTAATTTATGATATGTTGGATTCTAGCTGCAAAACTAAAATATTGTATTATTTTCTCGTTATTGCAAATCATTTTCTTGTAATGTAATCGGATTATCGATATTTTTACACATACAGAAACGGTACAAATATGTTTAAGAAATTTAGACATAAAAATAACAGTTATGAAAGCAAACTCATCTAGAAAAAAAAATGAACTAACATGAATCTCTTCTAGTTCTCGTATAGCTGTTGCATTTTTCTCCTTCAGTTCTCTCAGTTTCCGAGCATATTTAGTGTCGTGCTCTTCCAGTGCAATTCGTACACGTTGCTTTTCTTTCTCTTCAAACGCCCGTATCTTTTCATTTAGCGTTGTAGGATCATCCTTCTGAAGAGAGGCAAGATTTGAACCTAGATGAGAGATGAAAAAAAAAAAAAAAAATTATATAAATCAAACATGAATATTTGCTACCTGACAAGAAATACGCAGACTCTCTTTGAACATAGCAATTCGTGTTTTGGATTCGGTACGGAAATCTTTAGGTAAACGTTTTTTGAAACTGGCATACAAGCGTACTTGCTCCTCTTCATCCATTTCATTTACTCGACGCATATGATCCAACTCCTACAAGTATTAATGAATGTGAGCACGGATTCGGTAAATGTTCAGATCATATGCTGCTATATCGTACTGTTATATCCCGTAGTTTTGGAAAATAGCAATCAAAAATAAACATGAATGTTTAAACCATATAAAAGCGTACTATCATATATTTAAGCGCCAACTTACTCTTTGATGTCGAGCAAGCATTTGAGTTCTTTGTAGATAAAACCGATCTTTTAACTCTTGCTTGTTGAGATGATGTCGTTCAGCCAGTTGCTTCTCTTCCAGATCCCACTCCGAAGCTTCGCGTGATCTAAAGATAAAGTAATGAATTCTGAAAATAATTACAATTGCTATAAGCAAAAATAACATCTGATAAAGTATAGCTAAAGATGGAACGCATAATTTTGTGAACTTTTAAACAAGGCAAGCTTTCCCAAATATCTATACTAGAGAAAAGCAAAAAACAAAGAAAAAAAATTTAACTCAAGTCAAGGATTAAACTTATTTGCATGCATTTAATCACAGTTGAGAAGATGAAAAACCTTAAAACGGCATGCTTTTGTTGTTGGAAATTCTTTTCAATTTGCAAAATCTTCATTTTATGATCCAGCTGGACACGAGCCATGCGTGCTGCTTGTTCGGATTGCTGTTCAGCAATAAAATTCATCTCCTAAAAAATAGTATTGCTTTCGATGAATCGCGAAAATAATTTGCTGTTTATACAACAATAATTTATGCTTATACAATATATTGAATAATGCTAACTCTGTTTTGTTGATCGCTATCCAGATGTTCCTTGCGCACACGATAGCAATCTTTACGTTGGCTTTTTGGGATTGTGTCCATTTCCATTTTCAGATCACGTTGTTCTTGTTTTAATTGCTCACGAAACATGCGCAATTCACGTTCCTAAAATGCAGTTGTAACTTATAATTTAAGCAATAAGCAGACAAGTGTCAGAAAATTTTCGAGAACCCACTGCACAGTCTTATCTAGTATCCTGTTGCAGCACCATCATACTCCACTAAATAATTAATTTCTGACAAATCGAAGCTTGAAATTCGGTTAGGTGCTTCATCTAATAAAGGAATCGAGATAAAAGCATTAATAAACTCTCCAAAGTCGTTTAAACAATAAACAGGACATATATATATATATATGTATATTCAAAAGTAAGTATATGCTTAAACAGAAATATTCATAAAAATTCGATTGTGATATAAATAAGAGTAATAATAAGTATAAAGAAGGTTAGCATCAACCTGATCACTCTGCATTCTCTTCAGTGACTGTTTCATATCTTCATTATGTATTTCTTCACATTCTTTTAACTGCCTCTTCTGCGTTCTAGCCAAAATTTGTAACTCAATGTCCGTTTTCTTGTAGATATTCTGAAGCAAATAACATTTTCAAGGACTGTTATAACTAATATGAGCAAATATATATCTAGTAGATCCAACATGCTAAAATAAACAATTTTTTAAAGAAATTTTAAAATATTTCTCCAAACGGACTACTTACTTCTTTGTCGGCAGCAAAACGCTTTATTTGTTCGTTTCGCAATGCCTCGGCCTTTGCATTCAATTCACGTTGTTGACGTGCTTCCTCACGTTGTAGACGACGCAACTCATGAAGCTGTTGTTTCCTAGAAAGAAAAAGATGAAGCATATAAGTAAACAAATTAACATAAAAAAAAAAAAACACATTATAGTTTCACAACAGAGAACACTTACCAGCAAAAATCAGATCACCAAAAACTAAAGCATCCCAACCTCTAATATCGGTTTGTAAGCGAAGTCTAACATACCAGAGCTACTCATTTGTCTCAATCACAAACCATTTATTCTCTTATTCTTCTCCTCTCATTACCACAGCCACAATTAGAGAATCTAATACAAAAGAATAATGAGATTAGAATCATAGCAATCATGATCAAAAATGTAAAATCGGAAGTATAACGATGAAAAAATAACAACACAACTCAAATACACACTGACAAACATGCACAAAAACGAAAACGATATCGCGTATCATCATAAAACATAAAAAATTATTAAAGCTGAACAAAAATTTAACAAAAATAAGAATAATATAAATTGGAAGACTGACCAGTCACCATACAGCGATATATAATAACGTGGGATGAGACTGTAAAAATTCCTCAAATGTTAGCGAATTTAAAGCTTCAAAA